ACCAAAGGCTCTAAATAAGATGAGCGTTTCTACTTTTATTTATATGGACACCATTTCCATTTGAGATGCTACACTTAGTTTAAAATACCTGTGTCTTTTACATATTCTGTGGAGAATATCCATATTTTCTTCAGGGAGAGGGGTCGTGTGATCTACCCAAAAGGACACAGACGTGCGGAAGTTTAGAGCCTAATACTAAAAAGGCTCTAATAAATGTGAGTGTATATATATTCACAAATTCACTTATTGTCATATCAAAAGACAGGATTTGGAAGGTGGCAACATCAGCTAAACCAGAAGTTTTTTGTGTTTTTTGGTGATCATCTATGTGTGGTGGGTGTTAGGAGTACCCACAGAGTGTATACAGCAGCTGTACTATATTTTTCAATCCATATAACAAAGCGCCATTTAATCCACACCTTTTCGTGTATATTCAATAATAGTGATATGTGCCAATGGGTCACTCACACTTTCACTGTTAAAACAGGACGTATCAGAAATCAATGTAGCTTTCAGGCAGTTCTCTGCTTCCTATGTCTGGTCTTCCAGATCTCAATTACATGGAAAATGAAATGCATCCAGAATGAAATATAGAAAGATGTGCATAAAGTATAAAAAGCATTTATTACTTACACATAGGTAAGGATCAATCGACATAAAAACAAGTAAAAATCTGTCCACAATCTGTCCAACGCGTTTCCTCCCACAACAGGAACTTCTTCAGGGACTTAGCAGCAGTGAGATAGGTACACAAATGAATAAAAAATACACCTGTACATGGGTGGTATGACTGTACTCAGGAGATGTTTCTGAACACATATTAGGGTGTACTTTGGCAGTAACCCTTAAACTTCTCCGTAAATGTATTCATAAATTTCTATGTGTGTCAAAAAAAATAAATCACCAATTATTATTATATTTTTTAAAATTTGGCATAGATTGGTGGTAAAATGGTTGCATGAAAAGAGTCAAAATTCCCCAAGTACCTTTGTCTTCTTTTAAAAAAATATATACATGTGAAGGGAGTATTCAGGTATTCCTGACAGATATTAGTGCTACAATGTAACTTGTGTTAATTTTGAAAAAAAAAATGGTTTGGAAAAAGCAAAGTGCTTCTTATTGCCCTATAACTTTCCAAAAAAAGCTAAGAACATGTTAACATGGGGTAGTTATAAATGAAAAACTGTTAATAATATTTGTGGGTACAGTAAATGAGTAAGAGGAAAATTACAGCTAAACACAAACACAGCAGAAATGTAAAAAAAGCCCTGATCCCAAACTGTAAGACAATTGAAAAGTGGTCTGGTCACTAAGGGGTTAATGGTACCAAACCAGTATGTCTAGTAGAAAATGGAGAAAGGCCTTTGAAGTTTGACAGCTTTTTGCCGAATAAGTATCATAAAGATAGTCCAGATGACATCAAACGAAATTCAGTTAACCCATTATACAAAATAGTAAATGGACCCCCTGACAAGAATTTTCCGTGATGTAATTGTGCCATCTACTGACCAAAATCTAGATGATAGTCTGTAGGGAAGACACGCCCACCTTGCTCTATTGGTCACTGTCAACTAGTGAGGTATGGAGAAATTCTCCTTTAAAAATTAAGGACAAAGGAGAGAAAAACACTCTCTGGGGATGGGACATCTAAGATCTGACATCTGGAGCAGGAACGATGACACATCTAGCTTTTTCTCTCTCTTCCAATTAATTCTGGAAATTTGAAAAATCCTAACACTTGTCTCTTCAACTGAAAACTTTCCTGTTTCCCACAATTCTCATTCATATTTGCATTCACAAATTCAGGGACATGTCTCAAAGACTGATAAAAATTCTACAAAAGAACTGGTAATTATGCTGGTTTCATTAAATTTAAATTAATTAATATTTACTAATAGCAGGAGTATTAATTTGGGTAAAGGTTGGGTAAAGGTTGGCCAGGTTTCAACAATTAGAAATCATAATTAGCTTTGAAATATATTGTTCCAGATCCTTAACTGCAGAAAGGATAAGTGAATAATATATTTGCTGGCAATTTTCCAAAAAAAAAGGTTAGTATGCCAAATTTTACTCAGAGATAATGACTTATTCTAAATTAAGGATAGTAATCTTTAATTAGGAAAGCTAAAATTCTGCACATGGTAAAATTTGGTTAGAATTACTATTATTGAATGAGAAGGAATAGTTAAATGAACTGGTATGAGAAAGATTATATTGTTAATTGCAATATAAAAGATATTCTACCAATGAGAATTGTGGCCAACAGTGAGGAGTTAAATGCTCTGTGTAAAGGAATTTCATGTTGATGCTGTGTAAGGAATTGCATCACTGATTTAAAAGTGTTATGTCATAAATCTTGTTGAAAACTGCATAGATGTCGATATAATGTTGCTAGATTTAGCTATCTGTAAATTGTGTTAAACCATTGCCATTTTGTATAATTATATTATACTTAATAATGCACTGATTTTTATCACCCATGTTACATATAATTATTATCATTATTATTTGTCACAATAAATTATATTTTTATAATTAGTTTGTGATTAATGTGTGAAATATAAATCCTCTGATAAACGTACTCCAGGATCTATGAGAATTAAAATAGTGGGTAATTTTCCGCTTGAAATTAATATAATCGGGGAAACAGTGCCAATATATCAATTTTGATATAATACAAATTATTAAATACATTTTTGATAATGTTTATGAAAATATTATTTTCATGTTTATCACCCCATAAATATCCTTACAACCCAATGATTCACTATGATGGCTACTCCATTTGACTTGCGGGATTCTTGACCACGGTAGAAGATGTGATGGTTGTCTGATGTGAAATATCCCATTCCAGTCCATTTGAGTTCACTAACTCCCAGGATATCGATGTTTAACCTTGTCATCTCATGTTTGATGACATCCATTTTGCCATGATTCATAGTTCTAACATTCCAGGTACCTATGTTAAATTGTTCTTTGCAGCAGCGGACCAGAGAGCTATTTCACCACACTTGGGTTTAACAGCGGCAATATTAAAAGGGCAAACAGAGGCCTAGGAATATGTGAATCCAGCTGCTATATTTAAAAGCCCAACAGAGGCCTTGAAGTAAGTGACTCCAGGGGCTATATTAAAAGACATAGAGGCCTAGGAATAAGTGAATCCAGTGGCTATATTAAAAGATGCAGAGGCCTAGGAATAAGACACAGAAGCCTAGGAATACGTTTGATTGAAGCCTGAGAATAAGTTTAATTGAAATTAAAATAAATTCGGAGATAAGGGAACTAGGATAGGCATTTTTTTATGGTGATCTTTTTTTAAATTCTTTATTTTTCTTGTGCATAGTTTAACAACGAGCGTGTAGAGCCACGACAGCTTCTACAAGCATTTCCATAACATTACAAAGCGTGGCAGCTTAGACGGCACTTTTTTTTATATTACATGAAAATATCATACGATTAGACATCATGTTTGTAGTATAACTTGCTAGGCTAGACATGCATAGAACAGAACTGGTTGCTCTTTAGGTTATGCGTGTGTATCTTGGTTGTAGTGTGACATATAGGCATTAGGAGCACAGTGATTGAATTAACTAGATGTGCAGTAAGTAGAGGTAACAGTACTTTCTTTAATGCAGGCTGGTTGTTTGGTTGTATGCCAACCTAGCGCCTTAAAGATATTAAAGAGAAAACTAAGTGTTAGTGATGTACTTTGCAGTAACAGTTTAGAGTCAACGAGTTAGGTAGTAAGAAGCAACGTCAGGGAGGTCGGAGACAAGTGCTTAGTAGTGGTAAGCGGTTTTGGTCCGCAGTGGGCAGACAGGCATAAGTAGGGGACACAGCCTAAGTGTATGTGCTATATTATGGTATCTTAACCCTCAGTGCGTGTGTGTGTAGAGGCTGGGTAATGTTAGGTGAGGGGTGGTGAGTATGCACTGGAACCCCTTTTGGTAACATGAGTAAATTAAACACATAGCTGCTTCCCCTGAGGATCGCTTGGAAAGAATCATAGAGACAAAAAAAAACAAAAAACACAACAACGATATATATCTGAATATAAGAGGCAAGATAGATTCTCTTGAGTGCAGCTGGTATGCCGTTTCCATATCTCCTCAATAGGTTAGGGTATGGCCATCCAGTTCCTCAGGCCCCGCTTAACCTATGCCGTCCCGGATGTAAGCATAGTCCCATGCCCAGGGGTGATGCTGCCGACTTCCCCAGCTTGTAAGTGCTTGGTCGGGTGGGCCTCTCTGTCCCCACGGGTTTTCCCCTGATACTTCAATGAGAGTCTGTGTCCCGGTGTGGTCCCGCCGTCGCTGTTGCTGTCTGGCAGGCATGGGCTGGATCAGAGCGGTGCTTGTTTCGTGGCTCGTGGGGCGCCCCCTCAGGTGCCGTCTGCTCGGTCGCAATCTCCCTTTCCCGTGTGGTCTATTACAGGGGGATCTCACTGCGGCAACTCGCACCTTCAGCCGGTGTCTGGGAGCTCCAGGGTGATGGGTGAGTGGGCTAGTGCGCCTCGGCCTAGGTACTTTCGGGCACCAGGGGGTTGCCTTCTTGCTCCTGTTGCCGCCAGATGTATCTTTGGTCCCCTGCCTCGTGGTGATTTCCCGCCAGCTCCATTTTTCCGTGCAGCCTAGTGGTAGGAGTTTCTGTGTGGTCTTCTGTTTGGTTAAGCTTGTGGGAGTGCGCGGTAGGGTGGCAGGCCCTTTCTCCGGGGTTGTTGGGGACAGAAGAGCTTCAGCTTTTCCCAGAAGGCTTGAAAGGCTTTATCCAGCCGGTTCTCTGCCTCCGTCTGCTCGCCTCTAGTGCTGGTGGAGTACATTGTCTCCGCCATTTTGTGTGCGGTACTACTGCTTGGTTCAGGTCCCGTGATTGCCATAGCGCTTTCGCCAGGTTGTGCCCGGGTCTCCTGAGGCTGGACCGGGATGACCCCCACCGGTCCAGAGGGGGGGTACGTGGGCCTTGTTGTGGTCTGTCCGCCGTGGAGGTCAGCAGGGGAGCGGCCGTCTCCCTTATGCCGATCATGCAAGTAGGCCATGCAGGAGGAGCGGGTGAGTTGCGCTGCACAGGTCGCTTGTGTGGCACCATTCTGTGCCTCTCCGTGTCACCTTCCACCTGGTGGCCTTTTTAGCCGATTGGGTCGCTTTTTTATGGCTGAAAACCGATTAAATCACGGTGTGAAGCAGGAGCTGCACAGGTTAGTGTCTTCTCGCTTCAGCAGTTAGGCCCCGCCCCTATGGTGATCTTTTTTAATGCCCTGTAATCGATGCATGGGCGTATTTCAGTACTTTATTAATGATGTGCTTAGCGACTATATTTATTCTTTTGTCCTGGTATACCTGGATGATAACCTTATTTATTCCCCCGACCTCCAGACTCATCATAAACATGTCAAACAAGTACTGCAAGCTTTGCTTGAAAATGGGCTTTATTGCAAACTTGAAAAATGTATCTTTGACCAAACGAAGGTACAGTTTTTGGGGTATAATATTTAAGCCTCTGGTGTCCAAATGGATTCTTGTAAACTAGAGGCTGTTCTACATTGGCCATTACCTAATGGGTTAAAAGCCTTGCAAAGGTTTATTGGTTTTGCTAATTATTACAGGAGATTCATCAAAGGGTTCTCTTCTGTGATAGCCCCCATCACCAATATGACAATTTAGGGGGATAGTTGTACTATTTTGTATAAAGAGCTTCTTAAAGGACCACTATAGTGCCAGGAAAACATACTCGTTTTCCTGGCACTATAGTGCCCTGAGGGTGCCCCCACCCTCAGGGTCCCCCTCCCACCGGGCTCTGGGGAGAGGAAGGGGTTAAAATCTTACCTTTCTCCAGCGTCGGGCTGGGAGCTGCTCTCCTCCTCTCCGCCTTCAAAGCGACATAATCGGCTGAATGTGCATGCGCGGCAGGAGCCGCGCGCGCATTCAGCCAGTTCATAGGAAAGCATTTACAATGAGACAGCCACTAGAGGCTCTAGGGGCTGGATTAACCCTATTATAAACATAGCAGTTTCTCTTATAAAAAAAAGGGTTATCCCCAGCTGGACATTAAGCTGAAGTGGTGTGGGTGCCTATTTTGGTCCTTTAAGAAATTGTTTGCATCTGCTGACATATTGGTACATCCTGACACTAGCAAATCCTTCATACTTGAGGTTGATGCCTCCGAAACAGGGGTAGGGGCTGTTCTTTTGCAAAGGGAGAGTCAGGATACCCCTTTACATCATTGCAGGTACTTTTCTAGAAAGTTGTCTCCAGCGGAGCGTAACTACGATATTGGTGATAGATACAAGCACTTAAAGAATGGCAACTTTTTTAGAGGGTTCTAAGGATCCCCTTCGGATCATAACAGATCACAAACATTTGGCATATATAGGTAATGCTAAATGACTGTCTTCTAGACAGGCTAGATGGTCTTTGTTCTTATCTCGCTTTAACTTTATTATCACTTACAGACCTGGTCCCAAGAACGTTAAAGCTGACACCTTATCTAGGCAATTTGACATTGAATCGGAACAAGAATGAGAGACATCCCCTAATGTTCCACCTGAGTGTCTCATTGCTTCCACTGTTCTTTCCTTGTCATCCCCTCTGCTTTGTGCTATCATGGCGGCTCAATCCCAGGCACCCTGCAATAAACCCCTAGATAAATTGTTTATTCCATTGCTTGAAAGAAAGGTTCTTATGTGCAGTTTCAAAGGTTCCTCACAAACTTCCATGTGGATTATTGCATTCTCTTCCTGTACCCTGTGTTCCATGGTCCCACTTGTCCATGGATTTCATTGTGGAACTTCCGAGTTCTAATGGTTATACCACCATCCTTACGATGGTTGACTGCTTTTCCAAGATGGCTCATTTTATTCCACTCAAAAATTTGACATCTTCACAAGATCTGGTTCTTATGTTTATACGAGACATTGTCAGACTACATGGTATTTCTCGACATATTGTATCTGACAGGGGTTCCCAGTTTGTGTCATGATTTTGGAGAGCTTTCAATAAACAGTTGGGTATTGAATTATCACTCTCTTCCTCTTACCATCCCCAAACCAATGGTGCGGCTGAAAGAGCTAACCAATCATTGGAACTGTATTTATGTTGTTTTGTGAATAGTACACAGAATAACTAGTCTGAATTACTGCCCTGGGCCGAGTTTGCCAGGAACAATGCTACCCATGACTCATCCAGACACAGTACATTATTTGTCAATAACGGTCGTCACGGTTCTACTGCGGTATTCTCTGACATAGCTATTCCTGCTCACCTTACTTACATTTGTGAAACTTGGACTAAGGTTCAGTCCATTCTTGAGACTGCAGCTGCTTGTTTTAAATTTCATGCTGATAAACAGTGGGGTGCCAACCATGTTTACCAGGTGGGTGAGAGGGCGTGGTTATCATCATGCTACATATAACAAAAAGTTCCTAGCATGAAGTGTGCTCCCAGATTTCTTGGTCCTTTTCATATTGTCAAGAGAATTAACCCTGTTTCATATTCTCTGGCTCTTCCAGCATCCTTGTGTATACCTAATTCTTAATAATGTCACATATTCATCCTCACCTTGTGGTGTTTGCTCTGGAAATTGCCTTCCTAGCGATAATAGAGGTAGTGGAGGTCACAGCAGAACAAATACATACTAAAAAGTGTACACTAATGGGTTCTAAATTATCCTTAATTTTATGGATAAATAACGTCTTTAGACATCTTTGGGTGTTATTTATCCATAACCTTAAGGATAATTTAGAACCCTACTAGTGTACACTTTTTAGTATGTATATGTTCTGCTGTGAGGTCTGCACAGACAAATCATACACATCAATGTATAACAGTGAGATAATACAAATTTCCCATCCAGGCAACCTTAATACAGACATAATACCTGTTGTTATCTGTTTTATTTGAGTATCTGAGTATAATAGTGGTCTCTGTTGGGTCTATAATGGTACACTATAAAGTATGACTATTCTTGGTCTGCCAGCCAACAATCATAAGAAGTGGGTACTGAGGGCTCGATATATATCGAAGACTCTATCCCCACTACCACACAATGAAAGGGTCGGCATAAACATTTGTTTCCCCTCTATTCCTTTTGAAATTACTGCATAGGAATCCTCCCATTTCCTCTGTTTTACAATACATATGAAGATGGGCGGTTCTCTGTACAGGGGACGTAACAACAGGGGTAGGCTATATGATGACGAGTGACTTCACCACACATGCTCCCTTGAGCCGCGATTGGTTGAAATTACCACATGACTGATTTCTTGGCTCATATATAAGGGACCATTAATTGCCTTGGACTAAGGGTGCTTTAGTAGCGCCAAAACCCACGTCAGTTTACTTTACTTTTAAATTATCACAGCACCTTTCTTTCTTTTACTGCACAATGGGTATTTAGTTAGTTAAGCAATTATGGGGAACATTATGGACTCCAACTATAGCAAGCCATGGACATTATATAGAATATTTCGTGACTACACTTGGGGTTCTGAAGGGCATATCAGCGTTTTCAGACAGGTTATGTGCTAACTTTATTATAGCCAATGATCTGGCAATCAAGATTTTTGATAAGCAGCAACAAGTTTCTTTGGTCTGCTATCTTTCACCATAGTCTATGACCTAGCAATGGACATTTTTAATAGGCAGTAATACGTTTATTTTGCCATGTGATCTGGCTATTGACACTTTGTTTCCAGCTGCTTTAAAGCATGTTGATTGCAATCCATTCTGTGTTACCTCTATTTGTAGCACTTTCTTAAATGCTACACTGTCAAATGGTTAAATATTGATGATTTCAACATACCCTTAATATTGGTTTTGTTTTAGAAGGTCTTTTTATTGCCCTTCTTTATTGCCACAAGGGGTTCAGTGTAAATGATATAGATAGGTATACTGGAGTAACAAGCTTTCTTAGGTGTCAGCCTGAGGTTATTACAGGTCAAAATTGGCTATGAGAACAAATTATACAACTCAGATTTTCTACTATAATGGCGTTTTTCTTCTGGGGCTTTAGCGTACCTTTAATTTTAGCCACAAGAGCTCTGAAGTCGTTATATACACCTTATTTTTTACTATCAACTGAGATTATTATACAGCTATATGATATAAAGAATACACTGTCCAATGATCCCTATATTTATACTCTCAATAGTTGTTTCGCTTTAGAAGGCCATTTCATTGCCTTTCTGTATTGCCACAAGGGATATTGTGTAAATGATTTATATAGCTATACTAGAGTGACAGGTTTTCTTAGGTGTTAGCATGGGGTTAGAGGTTATAAGTACGAATTATTCGACTCAGAATTTCTGTTATAGTGGCGCTTTCTTTCTAGGGCTGTTGACTGCCTTCAATTTTAGCCACAAGAAGTCTGAAGTCGATATATACACCTTGTTTTATATGATATAACAAATATTCAACAGTTGATATATAATCCCTGTCAGGGTAGCTAACCCCAACCACCATCACCCTCAGTCCACATTTTATTTAGTCCA